AATTATCCATTCAGCTAGAATCACCGTAGTTTAACATGGACTCTAATGATGATGATATAGATGAAATTCCCACAAATACGGTACACACCGAACCTCCACCACACATGTATAAAGTTTACTATGGTGCAATGTACGGGCCAAAATTTATGGATATGCCTAATGTATATGACTACAGATTTAACGCATCAGTCAATGATGGTGAGTTATATAACGGAATGGATTTTCCATGCAAAGAAGAATCGATGATGGCAATTAAGAATTATAATATTCTTAATTTTGTTCACTCCAAAGTCGATCGTTCCACCACCGAAAAGTATGTTTACCACTGTGTCCAACATGATAACGGATGTAATTGGATGGTTCGTGTATCGAAGAAGAATAGGAAAAACAATATATGGGAAGTAACGGTATACAACGGTCCTCACAAATGTTGTGTTGGAGGGATCAACCAGGATCATCCCAACTTGGACTCCGACATTATTTGCCAAGCCATCATGCCCATGGTAAAAGCAATCTCCCTTATAGCTATTGTGGTATTGATTTCAACTATACAATCGAAGTATGGGTATACCGTCTCATACAGGAAAACATGGAAGGCAAAGCAGAACGCCATTAAAAAACTTCACGGTGAATGGGATACATCTTATAATGAACTACCAAGTTGGTTTAGGGTAGTGCGTAGATTGAATCCTGAGATAATTGTCGACTTCAAAACTTGTCATGCATACCACAATGATCGAGTGCTTCGCAATCGATGCCAATTCTACTCGTTTTTTGGACTTACCCGCAATGTATTAATATTTTGAAATACTGCAAGCCCATGGTTTAAATCAACGGAACATTCTTGTATGGAAAATACAAGCAAGTTTTATTGTTGACAGTTGTCCAAGATGGTAATCGCAATATTCTTCCAGTAGCTTATGCCCTTGTTGAAGGAGAAGATACATATTCTTGGGATTTTTTCCTCAGAAACTTATGCTTATATATTGTCACGAGGGAAAATTTTGTGTCATTTCATATCATGGATCTGGAATGGATTCTTTGGGTCTAATGTGGCAACCACCCTATGTCCAACATTGGTACTGTATCCGACACATTGTTGCTAACTATCATGGAAGGTTCAAGAAGAATGATGAGTGTCAATTACTTGTGCGCATGGGTATGTCAAAATGCTATTTTTTATTTCTTAATGATTTTCATTTTTTATGGAAACTTAACAGTAAGTTCTACATTTGATGCTCAGGTTACGAACTATTACCTAAAACATTTGAGTCCATGCTTTAAGATTCGCGAGGAAAGAATGATGAATGATATGATTACATCAGCCTCATCAATAAAGAAATATGGACAAATGCATATGATGGTGGATATCGATATGGTCACATGACGACTAACTTGGATGAGGCTATCAATTCGACCTTAAAGGAGGCACGCTATTTACTAGTAACGACTTTGGTTAAAAAGACATATTTTTGTTTGGGAGCACTTTTTGCCAAGCTCGGGGGACAGGCTCAAACTTGGATGCAAAATGGTCATGTCTATCACCCAAGATTAATTACAGATCTACAAAAAAGAATTGTTGCATCAAATGGAATGTTTGTAACAATCTTCTCTATAACCCATGAATTATTTCGTGTCACCGAGATATTGGACCTCTTTAAGGGATTCAAGCTAACTCGTTCAGAGTTAATCTATGAGACAGATGGTTTGACTGTGAGTTTTTTCAAGCTCTGAAGTATCCATGCTCTCATGTCATAGCAACTTGCTCTCATGCCCGTCAAGACTATAACCATTTTGTGGATCTCGTATACCGACTTTTAGAAGTTTTAAGGTATATGAATTTGAGTTCCCCCCATAGGTAATGAGAAAGACTTTGATGAGGTTCAAAATTGGCTTCCAATTGTACCATATCTGTCCTTATTGAGGGAGCTCGGTCGTCCTAAATCCACTCGAATTCATTGTGATATGGACATTCGGGAGACATCCAGAGAAAACAAAATATGTAGGCATTGTAGAAACCTAGGACACAATAGAAAAAAATGTCTATCTCTTTTGTCATCAAGTAACCATTGATGTTGTGATTGATGTAGTTTTTATTTATGAAATCTAAGTTTCTATTATTTAATTTTCATTTACTTTCAGTTATTGTCATTTGAGCATCACCGATTAATTGGTAACTCAAGAAATTAAATAATAAAAATAATTCAAACAAACTAAAAATAAGAAAACGATACAACTAAAAGATGTGTGCAACTAAATAAAAAAATAATTCGAACAATTAAATAAAAAAAATTAAGAAACAAAATAAATAAAAATTTCATAATTAAATAAAAAATTTACAATTACTAGTAAACAAACAAAATTAAATAAAAACATAATGAAGTAAACAACTCTATCAATGCCAACGTCTTAAATGTGTTCCGCAGGGCCGTGACTGTCTGTGTCGATGAGGATTTCTTCGTATAATATGTTCTGATTCCTCACTCTCATCATCATCATCATCATCATCAAGAGTAGATACATTTTGTTGATGAGGGACGAATGATGATGTAGCACCTCCATAGAATAAGGACCCTGGAGGTTTATGGCTAACTATCTCACTGCTCACAGAAAATTGTGAAAACACACAGAAATCGATGATCGTAAAAATTGTACTGTAGGTGTCTGTGCATGTGGTGAAGCTTCACCCGCCAAATAACCAGCATATAAACCCCAAGTTGGATCTAAAAGCATAAAAGTATAATATCCGCCAGGAGGGGTCATAAAACTCTGTGGTAGTGGCAGCATTTGGTATGGAAGCGGTGGCGTTTGACCTGGCTGTAGTGGAATATGAAATGGTTGTGGTGCCATCTGATATGGCTACGGTGCCATCTGAAACGGTTGCGGAACGTACAACGGTGTAAATGGTGGTTGTTGTGATGGTTCTAGTGTTGTAGCTGAGGACTAGCCAGAAGCACCTGCTCTTCGTCCACGAGTTTGGGGATGACGATACTATGACGGTAGATATCTTTTTCGAAGTCAATGAATGCTCCCACCTCGTGTTTCCTTAGAAAGTAGGAACAATTTCCCGTTCATGTTGAACCACTCATAATAATCATCCACAACCGAGTAATGATCCACATAAATGGTTTTGTACGAGGAATGCACCTACGTCGATCCTCCCATATCATTACCCACTCAATGTGCTTCAGCAGTCAGTCAACTTCTTTTTTGCCGAATCTATCGATGATATGCAAATCGTCCAGATTCTTAGGTGCTTCCGGAATAGATGTACAAAACCAAATTGGCGGAGCACGTGATCTGTAGGACGCCACTCGACAATACAATAAATATCAGAGGGACCACCGCCATCTAGACATCTAATAGGCCTCTTAAGTGATGTGGGATACAAATCCTCATTTCTTCAGTAGAATAAGGAGTCTGTTGAAACTAAAACAAATATATATAATTTTATCAAAATAATATTCTAATTATATAACGATAATTAAAATTTGATAATAATATTTAAATGCATACCTCTATATCAGCCTTCTGGTCAATGAGTAGCCTAATTTCTTCCAATTCATCAAGTAAATCCCGATTATCTTTTCTTGCACTTGGCCACCTATTCAATGAAATAATTTTCATTATATACTCAACAAAATTATTTATATACGAAATCAGTATTGAAATTACCTCAATAATAGCGGGAAGACCAACAGGTTTTTCACCACCGAACATTAAAAAGGCATAGGATACCACACCCAAGACTGGAGAAAAAAGAGACATCCGCCGATAGCATTTTTTCGATAGTCAGTAGCTCGACACATTTCTCTATAAATAAATGCCAAAACTGTGGAGCCTCAACTGAGAGTACCAACATGATGTAAATCTGTGAGGTGAAGCAACCACATACAATGAACTTAGTTCCACGATTTTTCTAGCATCAGGATCCCTCCTAAGAGTTGTAATATGCAAGCTCGTGCATATATTTTAACATGCTAATCAGAGGCGTCGTGACTCAAATGTTAGAAAGTTGTACCCAACCAATTTAACGGTATTCGACCACCATTGAAATTACGGGACACCTCCAACATACTCCTCGCACAAGGAATGCCAATCACCATGTGCCACCCCAGAAATCACATTCCCATATACCAGAAGCCCCAAATGTATGGAAACATCCTCCAGCGTAATTATGCACTCTCTACACGGAAGATGGAATGTGTGTGTCTCTAGTCTTCGCCTCTCAACCAATGTAGGTATTTCTAACTTAAGATTACGAATAAATAAGGCCATACACGAGTAGGTATTTCTAACTTAAGATTACGAATAAATGTATCTAATATACGATCTCTCTCCTAATTTAATAAATATTATAGAAATTAAAATATAAACTAGTACTAAACAAGTGTAACAAACCACATTCAATTTTAAAACTATAAAAATTAATAAAAAGTTAGTATAATAAATTTAATCAAATAATAAATTATTAATTTATTATAATACAATAAAAATATTTTACCTTCTTAATAGAAAGATTGATACTCAGAAGAATGAGAGAATTTGAGATTTTAATGTGGTTTGGAGGTTGTATTTAGGGGAAGATGAGAGGGGGTATTTATAGGAAGGGGAAGCGATATACGAGTTTCATTAAATGTGGGAGGTGAACGGTTGGGGTATTAAAGGAAAGACACAGATTATTATTCGCGCCTTACATACGTGTAAGAAATCTCGCGAAGGCGCGGATGACGATCCGCGCTTTGCTTAACGTGACGTCATCTCGGATAAGGTGCGAATAGCGATCCGCGCCTTTCTTGATGTGGCACCAGCTCGGACAGAACCTCTCAAAGTCGCGGATGACGATTTTCTCTTTGTTAAAAAAGATGCTAGATCAATAATATTAAAAATATATATCTGAAAGGTAATTATTAGATGTACGAGTGATATTTCGGTAAAATAGCCTACAGGCTGCTCCCTCCGATTCCATCTCTTTCACTTCCTCTCCTCTAATAATAATATTCTCTCTGTAGATACCATCAATTTCCCAATAAATAGAATAAAATTTGCTTCTCTTTTAACATCAATCTTTTCAGCTTCCAAGCGGGAATAATTCTCACCAACACTCTAGCAGAGAAAATACTATAAAGTTGTCGCATGTCAAATTCAGAGCCTGCTACTATAAACGGAGCAATAATGGAGCCCCAGAGAAAACAGGCGCCCACCAACGGTTCCCTCGCCGTCAAGAAGCCTCCTTCAAAGGACCGCCACAGCAAAGTCGACGGTCGTGGCCGAAGAATCAGGATGCCCATCATTTGTGCCGCTCGTGTTTTCCAGTTGACTAGCGAGTTGGGTCACAAGTCTGACGGTCAGACCATTGAGTGGCTGTTGCGCCAAGCTGAACCTTCCATAATTGCCGCCACGGGCACGGGCACGATTCCAGCCAGCTTCTCCACCGTGTCGGTTCCCGTCAGCGGAGGGGCTAATTCTACTTCTCTTTCGTCGACGACTTCTTCTTCGTCCTTGGATCATAAACCTTTACTGAGTCCCACCCCTTTTCTACTCGGGAAACGTGTCAGGTCTGACGGTGATAACGCTGCGAAGGCCGAGCCCGGAGGTGTCACGGTGGGACCGGGTCTCGGGTCTATCGTGGGGGCCGCAGGCGCACACACGGGTGCGTTCTGGGCTGTTCTAGCGAGGCTTGATTTTGGTCAAATATGGAGCTTTGCGCCTCAGCATCATCAGGAGATGGTGGTACAGACGGCCGCTCAGCAACCAGCTGCAGCTGCGTTTTTTGTTCAGCAACAGCAAGCGATTGGTGAAGCGTCGGCGGCTAGGGTTGGCAATTATCTTTCCGGCCATCTGAATTTGTTAGCCTCATTGTCCGGTGCACCGGGAGGTACTGGTCAAAGAGACGATGATCCTCGTTGAATTTGGTGGACCATTTTACTCTTGTTGCTGGGAGTATATATATTTACATGAATGCATAGATTCTATAAATATCTGTATATCTTGTAGTTTTCATGTGTGCGGACGTGGAAGGACATTTTTAGTTGGAATTTTAGGGTCAGGGAATTAGGGTTTTTAGTTGACAATTTGGGAGTTTGAAGCGTGACTGATGAATGGTTCTAATTAGGATTTTTTCTTAGCACTTATATTTGATGATTAATTAGGGTCTTAGAGCGTTCACAAATTGTTTAGGATTTTGAAGGTTTATGTTGGAGGAGAAGAGGGAATCAGGAATTGGAGCTTTCATGAGTGAGATATTTGGGGGATTTATCCTGTTATTAATCGGGTTTGCTTATTGCTCTTTGATTTTGGGCTAGTATTTGCTGATTTGTTTTCTGCAATGAAGAGACTTCAAGCCTGGATTCAGAGAATTCTTACTTTTCCACATTGCAAAGAACTTCCATAGTTTTGATGTATGAATGATGAAGGAGCAAACCGAAGAATCTTAGCTGTGAATTGTACTTGATTTAGAGAATATTGGGGTATTATTCGGTTAACCTAAATTGGGTGACTGGATGCTGAAACCCAAGATTTGCTAGGATGATACTATGCTTGGCTTGATGCTGTGGATATATGGTCTCCCTAAATTTGAGAAAGTTCCCTTACTATTAGTTTCTTTGCTGCTACCTGGCGTTTCTTAGCATCGAAAATTATGGTTCTCAAGTGCATAGCACATGATATTAGCTCGTAATATGCCGGGACATGGGTTGATCTGGCCCTCTCTCTTCTGCTTTCAGTGAGTGTGTGTGATTGCATGATCTCAAAGGAGACTGCCGTGTGAAAGATTTGGTTCATTTCTGTAAGAATGTTATTTTGTAAAAAACTTTTAGATGTATTCTTAGCCATTTCTTAGATTTATCTGCGTGCAAATAATGTGTTCCTCATGTATTGTTTTTCACAAATTTAGTTTCTTCTGCACATTATTGTTATTATTACTGTCTACTTCTCTATGTAAGAAGGATCTTTGTTTTGCTACTCATTATTTGGGCGATTCAATGTATGTTTGTGTTTGATTTACATTTTCTTTCATCTCTGGTTTACTAACTCTCGTTTCCTCTTCTTTCGGTATCTCTAATCACAATAACTGATTGTCTGATCATACATGCTGATCTGATGATCATTTGATTTAGAGGTAAAATAAATTGTCATTACAAGCTTTGTGAACATTAGAAGCTAGCATTAGTTCTTTCATTTTGATGATAGGAAGTTTAGAACTTTCAAATTAGACATGATTATTGGTTTAGTCCGTGGAAATTAGTTGTTGCTATGTGCAACATAATTGTATTTCTCCGACCTTTGAACACATGCATTTGCATATACTTGAATGACACATTCTTGACTCTTAGTACTCTTCGAGATGTGGTAAAATTTGCATGCAATCGTCATCGCAGCTGACCCTCCCAGGCGGAAAAATGTATTTATTGCAGAAGTTCCATGGTGATGAGAAAATTGTAAAGGCAATGCCTTGGTAGGGAATTGAACTGTTGTGGATCTTTGAACTTGTACTTGCATTTCAATTGACTTATTTATAATAATATACCAGGAGGAATAAGCATGAACTGCTGCAAAAGTTGCAGCATTTCATGGGGTCGATTAACGAGTCATCATATGATTTGAAATTGATTGCTTGCGATAAAGAGCAAGTAAGATGGTGACTGCATTGTTTGTGAAAGCATTTGCAGCTTCTTTCCAGGAAAAGAAAATGGGGACATGAAGATTGATAGTATTGAATAGGAAGAAAAAAACAATTAGTGAGGGCAGCAATGAACAAAGTAAATATCAGTGGAGATAATGAGTACAAAAATATTAATAATTGTACCTTTGTTTCTATATATTAAATAATTGCAGGCAGGTCCCAATAATTGATTTGGGGGGTCCCTTCCCATTGAGTATTAAATGTCTTGTTGAAAAAATTGGGGATTGTCTTTAAGATCTCATAGGACCATCTCAAATCCCTATCCTAATCCCCATAAACTTAATTAGACATTTAGATTTTAGACGGGAAAATTGGGGCCACCATATCCTTTCATTCAAGGGTTGGGCCAAAGTGGCCTTTGGCTATTGAAGTAATGCACATGCAAGTGCAACAGCAATGCCGTTGCAAATCATTGTTTCGCGGGGGGGGGCTCAGATTTCAGATTTTGGTGATTATTCCAAATATTTTTTTTATATGGTGCTTTTGCTCCTTTTAGGGGATCATTTTAACCATGTATAATGTAGGAGATGGGTGGTTAGTCTTTATTCTTTAGGGTCCCTTCTCAGTTTATTGCCCATAAAATATTATCTTTTACTTAACAAAAAAGGTTAGGTTTCCATGGAGGATTTGTTACCTTTTTGTATGACTAAAAGACATGTATTTTTAATTTTAACTGCATACAGAATTTCTTAAACCTCTTTCAGTTGAACTAATTTTCTAATAGTACAAATGTTAACATAATGAACGTAGGAGATGAAGGTGAATTAAGGGGACATCAAAGTTTATGTTTCGGGACAATTTTCGACAATTAGGCTAACATCATTGCAGTAATATGGGTGATAACAAACTGCTTCAATTCATTCGGGGTGCTGATATTGACATTCGAGTAATGTGCATCCGGCATGGCCCTGACGGTAATGTCTGGAGCAACTTCAAACAGGTGAATCTGTAACATAACTATTATTTCCTTTTTCCTTAAATCTACCTGCAATGGATCTGCATAGATTATTTGCTCATTTTCCATGTATCTTTTTAAGTACAGATTGCCGATGCCGGTTGGTTTGTTGAAGGCGGCTAACAACCTTACTCGTCTTTCGGGATGAAAGGAGGTAATTTCTTGTAAACATTGCTTCATATTGAGTATGACAATATGTTAGTGCATTCTTTATTGCTATTTGCATTTGATTTGTTCCACCTCTATATTTGTTTATCACAGTTCTTCTGAATTTTGTTTTGGTTGAAGAAAATTAAAAGAACACATAATTTGTAGCTGATACATTTGCTTAGTGTGTTATGTCATCATAACGAGTCATTGATGTAATCTAATATTGTTTGAGAAAGTGCTCAAGTTTGAAAGAAACCTTTGTGGTCCATTTACTGTAATCTATTCTGAATACCACATATTTGATGTTCAAGTATTCTCTCTGGCTTTTACATAGCTGTTTGATGCAATAATTTGTGATCCTCCATATGGAGTTCGGGCTGGTGACGGAAACCCGGTGGTCAAAAATTGCTCAAGGGGATCTTCGGCCCTTACACTGTCCTTGATGATGAAAGGACAGAGACCATATACTACCAACTGCACCTTATAGCTTAGCCAATTGTGTGCACGACTTACTTGACCTTGCTGCTAGGATGCTTGTGATGTGGAGCAGGCTCGTGTTGTTTTATCCGGTGTTGAGAGAAGACATTCGGAAGATCATTTCCCGGAGCATCCATGTTTTCAGTCCAGCGGAGGTTGTTGTTGAATCAGGTGATTCAAATGCGAGTAAAGAATCAAAGACCAAATACATAGAGAAATATGTGTAGTCCCTGCTGCTGTTTTGACTTGTATTGTAGACATTCATGTTTTTATTTGCTACTTAATGCTATATTTCTTGTTTTACCACTCTAAAATTAAAATTCAGATTTAATTTTTCTTTCATATATTTTTTGTGTTTACTTCCTCTTTTCCTTTGATTTTTATTTAGTTGGCGGCGACACAATTTTAATATCGGTTGTTGGCAGGTGATTATTATTTTTCTTGAAATTTATTTGATTCTAAATAAAAATCTGTCTTTGTGAGACATTTTTCTCTACTTTTTGTGGCACACTTTTTCTATGCTCTTATGGCATGTTCCTTATGTTTTTTGGTACTTTTTCGCATATTTCTTCGATCGTGTTGGTGCTTGCATAAAAATCATCACATTTGTTTTCTGATTGGTTTTGTGATGGTCATGTATTGTTAATTTTTTTTCTTTGGTAAAAGGTTGTTTGCCAATATAATCAGTATTTTATAACAAAATCAATATAATCATAATTGTACAACAAAGAAGTTTGCTAAATTGTTTTATTCGCTCACCACTCCCTTATCATTTCGTAAAACGTCTTGTTCGACAAAGACAAAGACAAAGAGTTTTTTTGAAGGTTACTGAATTCTTTTGATGTTCTCAATGGAAAGTTATATTTTTATTCGTGCTTTTTTATTTAATATTTTTGTTTCATGTATGAGTTTTTTTTACTATCGTCCTCAGTTTTCTGTTTAGATGCGTTGTAATTTTGATTCATTTTATTGTTTTTATTAATAAAATTTAATTGTTATTTGATTGACCGATTTGTTTATAAAAATTTAACAATCCAAATGTACTTACCTTGAATTTTAAAATATTTGATTTTAAGATGATTTAAATCCAAAATGATTTTTGTATGAAAAAATTTGTTTTGGAGCTCATTTGGAACTTATAGTATCTATTTTTTAGGCTTATATCATAAGCAAGTACCTAAAGTATAACATATTTTTTATTTAAGTGTTTAAAATATCTTTTGGTTAAAATAAATATTTAAAGTTATCTTTTAATCAAAATAGGTACTTCAAGTATTTTCTAATCAAATAGGTACCTAAAATATTCTATCTTTTTCATCTAAGTTCATAGAAGATTGGCATGTGATATTAATTAAAGAGTACTTTAGGAATCTAGATAAAAAATTGAATACTTTAGATACTCATTTTGACAAAAAAAAAACTTTAAGTGTCTATTTTGGCTCAAAAGATAACTTTAAATATTTATTTTGATATTTATTTTGACCAAAATATATTTTCAATACTTAGATGAAAAATATATAATTTAAGTCAAGTGATCGATTGAGGGGGGGGGGGGGGTTTGTGATTTCTAAGTAAAATAATATCTTAAGCATTAAGATAGTTTGATTAATAATTATAAGATAATATTTTTTTGAAAATTTTAGTATAAATATAAGACAATATATTCCTTGAATTTGTAGTACTTGAATTTAAAATTTCAAAAAATAATAATAAATTTCTTAATTATTAAAACCGTTGATTCATATTTATAGATATTTATTCTTAAGGGTAAAGTATAGTAATGGTCACTGAACTTTTTTAAAACATTTATTTAGGTCCCCAAACTTTTAAAACTTGCAATACAGTCCCCCAACATTTAGTCCATTTGCAATATGTTCTCCCAACAGTTACATCGGGACCATATTGCAAACATACTAAATGTTGGGGGATCATATTGAAAACGGATTAAATGTTGGGGGACTTTGCAAATTTTAAAAGTTTGGGATCTAAATGTTGGGGGATCATATTGAAAACGGACTAAATGTTGGGGGACTGTATTGCAAGTTTTAAAAGTTTAGAGACCTAAATGAAATATTTATAAAAGTTCAGTGACCATTAGTATACTTTATCCTATTCTTAATTACTAAGATCGTTGATTCATATTTATAAGAGAAAATAACATCAGTGACAAAAAATATCTTATAATATACGATTTTAACCAACTTTTTTTGGATTTGCCAAAATGACCAACTAAATCGCAATGTGATCGATAATTCGCAACGCGATCTCCGGTATCGCAAATCAGTTTCCAGATCGCAACGCGAACTTCGACTATCGCATTGCGATTTACATATTCGCATTGTGATAGTCCAAGTTCGCGTTGCGATAGTCGAAGTTCGCGTTGCGATTTTCCAAATTCATTGCGATAGTCGAAGTTCGCGTTGCGATAGTCGAAGTTCGCGTTGCGATAGTCCAAATTCGTTGCGATAGTCGAAGTTCGCGTTGCGATTTTCCAAATTCGTTGCGATAGTCGAAGTTCGCGTTGCGATTTATTCCAAATTCGTTGCGATAGTCCAAGTTCGTTGCGATAGTCCAAAATCGCAATGACTGGTGGTATTGCATTTGTTTCTTAAGAATTTTCTCTAAAAAAATAGTATTCGCGCGGACGTGTCGAAGACACGTATTACCACGACCACGACCCGACCCGACCCGAGACGAGACGGACGACGGCGGCGGCGACGCGCGAGAGTCCCCCTTGTTC